TCCTCCCTCCCTCCCTCCCCCTTTCACGTGACCTTTCATCATTTCTCTTATTTTTCTTTGTTCGTTTCTCGTTTTTGCATTAATTGGCTTTGTGTTATCCATTCCCTCATTTACTTATGTTTATTTTTGTTTATTTTTAATTTGTTTTATTTTATTTCATTTCATTTTTGTATTTATCTATTTATTTTTAGTGGGTGATAATTCCTTTAATGTTTTAAATCTTCCCTTTTTTACATTCTTTCATTCGTTATTTTAGTCTTTCCTCTCTCTCTCTCTATCTATATACCTATCTCTAACTATCTACCTATCTATCTATCTATCTCTACCTATCTATCTATCTATCTATCTCTCTATCTCTATCTATCTATTTTTTATCTATCTATTTCTCTCTATCTATCTTTCTTTTTATCTATCTATCTATCTATCTATTTTCATGCCACCACTTGCTCCCCTCTCCTCATTCTCTCTTCACCACCTCTGACGCCCCCCACTCTTCTCCCGTCCTCCATCCCTCCCTCACCCCCCCCCCTTCCCTTCCCCTTCCCCCTCCTTCTTCCTCTCTCATCTCTCCCCCTCTCCTTTCTCCTTATCCCTCACCTCCCTCATTCTCACTCTGACCCCTTCTCTACCTCCCTCTCCCTTTGTCTCCCTTCCTGTCCCTCCCTCTCCATCCCTCTCCATTCCCTCTTCTCCCTCTCCCTCCCTCTTCTCCCCTCTCCTCTTCCCTCCACTCCTTTCATTCCCTCTCACTCCCTCTTATCCCTCCCTTTTCCTTCTCCCTTCCCTTCTTGCCTTGCGTTCTACCATTCCTTCAATTTCCCCGACCTTCCTATCTTCCTCCCCCTCTCATCCCCCTCCTTCCTACCTCCTTCTCATACCCTACCCCCCCTCCTCCTCCTTTTTTTCCTCACTCCTTCCCATACCCTCCCTTCCTCCTCCCTCTTCCTTTCTTCCTCCCCCCATTTTTTCCATTTCCCTCACTTTCCTTCACCCTCCCATACCCTCCCTTCCTACCTCCACCCCACCCATCCCATCCTCCTATCCCCCTCCTTCCCCCAACCTTTTCCATCTCCCTCCCCCTTCCCAAAGCCCCTAATCCCACAGGGGAGAAGGCGGGAGTGGAGGGGCTAGGGGTGGGGGGGTGTGGGTGGGTGGGGGGTCGCCAAGCTTCCCAACACCAACGCAAAGAATTGAAATTTTATGAGCCAGAAACTTCGTTCGTTACGACTTGCTTCGAAGAGCCAGAGAGCGGCACTTAGCTCCGAAAAAAGGGGGTGGGGGTGGGGTGGAGGTGGGGTGATTGGTGGGGGTGGGTGGGAGAGGGGGAGAGAAAGAAATCCATATGCATTTTTAATTCATGGCTTCATTTACATAGTTATCGCCAATGATGGATTTTTTTTTCTCTCTCTCTTTTTTGTGTGTGTGTGTCTCTCTTTCTTTTCTCTTTTTTCTCTCTCTGTCGCTTTCTTTGTCCTTGCATCTATCTGATCTTTCTTTTCCTTTTTCTTCTTCTTTTTTGTGTCTCTTTCTCTCTCTCTCTCTCTCTTTCTGTCGCTTTCTTTGTCCTTACATCTATGTAATCTTTCTTTTCCTTTCCCTCTCCTTCTCTCTATGCATCCATTCTAATCTTTATAATCTTTTACAATCCTTCCCCCGTTCTCGCTCTCGCTCTCTCTCTTTCTATCTATTTATCCATCTCTCCATCTATCAATCTACTTCTGAATATAGTCTCTTTAAGAAAGTAACAGTAGAAAGAATAATGATATGAACGCCGCAAGAACAATGATCATTATCTTTGCCAAATGTAGCATGACTCATCTTCTCTTGTTATTGGAGACAGAGAGGAAGGGAATAGAGAGAGAGAGAGGGAAGAGAGGGAGAGAGAGAGAGAGAGAGAGAGAGAGAGAGAGAGAGAGAGAGAGAGAGAGAGAGAGATTGAGGAAGATAGATAGATGGATGGAGATATTGGGGAGAGAGAGAGACAGGGAGAGAGAGAGGGAGAGAGAGAGACAAAAGCTGAGAGAAAGAAAAGAAAAGAACATAATTATCGAAAAGAACAAAGATATGAGAAAGAGGAATAAAAAAGGAAGGAAAACAACAAACAGGAAATATAAACAACGGACGTAGCGACAGGTAAATCATCCGATCCTTCTGAAGGGACACCTGGAGGACGACCCACGGGCGCCTTCCCTCGTCCCGTATATATAATATATATATATATATATATATATATATATATATATATATATATATATATATATATATATATATATATGTGTGTGTTGTGTGTGTGTGTGTGTGTGTGTGTGTGTGTGTGTGTGTGTGTGTGTGTGTGTGCGTGCGTGTGCGTGCGTGCGTGGTGTGTGTGTGTGTGTGTGTGTGTGTGTGTGTGTTGTGTGTGTGCATACATATATATGTATTCAGGAAGGTATACATCACTGTACAAACACACATAATTGTCCCTCTCCGGTTCCCTCGCCTGTGACCCCGCGCGAGTGTCCCCTTTGAGGGCGTGCAAGCAGCCAGGCGAGGCGGCCCCACTCGCGCCCGCCGCCCGCGCCCTCCTCCTCTGTGGGCGGTCCTTCAAAGGCGCGAGGGACGCCCGCCGCCGCTTCCCTTCCCGCCAAGACCTCCCGGGACGCCCAAGCATAACACGATAACGTTTATATACCATGGGCGTTATATTCCTATGTAAATGTTCTCTTTGCCCGCCCGCGCTCTCCTCAGCTGGACGGGCGGGCGGGGGTGGGCGCGGGCGGGGTTGCTCGCTCGACGTACGCCTGTGGGATGGGCTTTCATCTCTCGCCTCTCGGAAGTCCTACGCGCTTGGTGTGGGCGTGCGTCTGGCTATTCGTCTGTTGGTCTCTGTCTGTTCATTTCTGCTTGTCTCCTTTTGTGTTTTCTGTCAGCCCTGTGCCTGCCCGTACTCTCTCTCTCTCTCTCTCTCTCTCTCTCTCTCTCTCTCTCTAGCAATCTATCTCTCTATCCTCTATCTATCTTTATTTCTCTCTTTCTCTCTTCTCTCTCTCTCTCTCTCTATCTATCTATCTCTCTCTATCTATCTATCTATCTCTCTCTCTCTAGCAATCTCTCTATCTATCTCTCAATCTATCTTTATTTCTCTCTTTCTCTCTCTCTCTCTCTCTCTCTCTCTCTCTCTCTCTC